GCCTCATTGACTTGAGCTTCCGAGACGGGAAGCGCCCCTGAGGCCTCTGCCATCTCCTTGTCGACCACCTCCTCTGCCTTCGGCAGACCTTCTCCATCAGGGCAATCTGTCGGGCAAAGCCGGGCCACAGTTGTATCCAGGGCACTTGGACCCAGGGGATGGTCCAGGCCAGGACACTTCAAGCGAAAGGTGCCTGCACAGCCCCAAGATTTCACCAAATCTTCGCATTCCGCTTCCTGGGCACACAACGGATCCACAGGTGATGACACCTTGTATGCACAAAGGTGCTTCGCCTGGAGCAGTGATGTCCACAGCAGCGCCGTGACTGCATCTGCAAACTTCATTCTGTCAGTGAAAGCTACGGATGCTCGCTAGGAGCGGTACCTTTAGAACTTCTTGAGCTGAAGGCGGCCAGTGGAAAAGACTGTCGCAGCAAGAAGTCCGGGGAGAGACTCTTCGCGACACAAACAAAGAACTTGCCATCAGAGTCTTGTCTTGCCTTGCGTCATGACTCCGAAATTGTCTGCTTGCCACCACCACCCCCACCACCCACCACCACCACCACCACCACCACCACCACCACCACCACCACCACCACCACCACCACTACAGATGTGTACATTATTCCTTCCACGTCATGTCTCTTCCCAATCCTGCACGATCCATGGATGGCCGTGACTGCCGAGGGCACTCGCTGACACCATGCAGATCTTCCCGGGCGGTTTTCCCAGCTGGGCAGTGCGATCACCATTTGGTAGTTCCCCTTTGGCCAGTTTCCGAGTTGGTCAGCACCACGGTGGTGGTACCTACAGAGAACCGGCACCAAAAGGAGCGGGCGGTCGATGGCCGTTTGTGCAAGCAAACACCCAAAAAAACATGCGACTGTTGCAAGATCCGCAACGAACTGTATATGCTTCGCCAAGAAAACAATGTTTGACTTAGACTTGCAAGGCTGTCAGTCAAGCTGCTCGGAATATGTCCAACTGCCTCAACCATCCCGGAGCCCATAGCCCCATGACTTCAATTTTCTCCCCAAATCCAAGGTACATATACCGTGCACAGAAACAAACAGTTCAAACCAGCGCGGTGCGTCCCAAAATGCGTCCGCCATGTCAAAAGGAATTTTGCTAAACTCAACCTCAGTGCAGGTCTCACGACACCCGTGCAAATCTTTGGATCCCTGCTGAAATGGCACCCTGCTCTGGGAAACATTCCGGAGGCCCCTAAGCACAAGTACAGATGCGCGGCTCTTTTCTTACCTCGTTTGCAAACGGTCAGCGAGCGTGTGTCTCTCTCCATCCTTCAATGGTCTTCTGGATTCAAGAGGTTGTGTCCAGGACTTGTGGAAAGATGATTGTCAGGGACCGCCTCAACGTCATCGTTGGCATGGGGCGACTTCTCGGCGGCCGTACTCCTGATCATTGATCTCACCTGATTATTCCTTACTCGAAATATTTTCACACACCAGCTAACATCTCCTGTGTCTGCCGAAGAGAGAGCCTGCGCAGCTTCCATCATTTGGAAGAACACAAGCTCATTGGCATCCTCCGCGGAGTACTTCGTGCGCGCAAGGTGCCAGCGGCTGGCAAGCTTCAGTGTTGTCCTCGACGGGGGTGTCAGTAATACGAACCTTTTGGCGCCGATTCACAGTGCAAAGGATAGGAAAAGTGTCGAGCATGCACTCCCCGCCTACTCCATGATCCAGCTGAAGGGGAAAATCCTCATTGCCTCTATGCCAGACATGATGCGAAAACACACCTTCGCAGAAGTTCGCAGAGTTTCCGTGCAGCAAAGCTGTCCCAGCTCCCAGCTTCGGGCCTGAGCCTCCGAGCCTCTCGAAAAGAGGAATCAACGAACAGAACGAACAGAAGGTTTTTCCTTCCTCAACTCAGCGATTGGGACATTGGGAACTGGGCACATGAGCCGCACCTCCTCACAAATCAACTCCCACATGCGGAGGTGGCATGGAAGTCTGAGCTCTCAATCCGACTAACACTCCCAGTACAGAGTCCATCATGAACACAAATACCAATACTGATAGTGCTCTTTACTGTCTACTGTCTACTGCGGTCATTACTACATCCTTTACTGCCAGGCCTTCGATGGATTGCGTCATCATGTCCTGAAACAGCCCACGTGGAAACTGCGTCAAAAGCAGTGTTGTCTTTTTCGTAGGGTCTGTTCTTGTGTCGAAGCCTTCATGGCAACACTACAGAACAAAGAAGGCTTGTGATGACATGTTGCAAGAACTGTCATGGATGTCACTAAGGATTCTGGGTGTGGTTTGTGCTATTCGGTGAGCAACTTTTATGCCTGAGCAAGTTGCCATCATAGACATCAGCTTGTAAATATGGCGTAGCCGCTAATGGTGTTTCGCAAGGTGCCTTCTGATGTTTTTCTTCTGCATGGCCACCTTCATGTTTCAACTGGTTCCAAACGTGAACTCGCTCAATGACTCAAGCTAATTTGTGACGGAATGAGTTTTGGTTTGGACCGACGTCATCCCTAGGAACCTGGCGAACGGACAACGGAAGCTTTGCAGCAGTCCGAAGATTCTGCGCTTCCTTGAGTTGGTGCTGTGCAGCGGTAAGTTTCGACCTCTATTCTCACATGGGATTTCCTTACTAGGATGCGCCGCAGGTGCCGCACGGGGCTTTGTGAATTTGGGCTCCGAGGATTTGAGGCATGCTGGCGATTGAGTTTGGGGTGCCTAGGATATCATGGTCCAATGGTTCAGGCACAACGACTAACGAATACGCAATGCTTTGCAACTGCGCAGACCCTACCGGTCCGGTGCACTGAGAAACCAGCAGCCAACGTGGTCGTTAACAACACAACCTTTTGAGCTTCAAAGAACACTTCTGAGGCCAGTGAGACCAACACTGCAACCATGTGACCTCATGTACAGGGATGGAAATGTTCATGCCCGGTTGCGCACCCACATCCCACTCCCAAAGTGAACCCCCTCAAAAACCATGTGAGCTATAGTCTGAGCTCGAGTAACCCCCTGAATGACCCCTGCAGTACTCCCCTGTATAACCGCCTTGAAGGAGTTTAGACGATGACTCATGCGCGCCGAAATCTTGGGAGGGACGGAGGCAGGCCTGGTGCCAAAACCAATCCAAGCAAGCACAAGGCCTGCAATAGGGATGTGTGGGTTTAGGAATCAGGGTTTAGGATTTAATGTTTAGGTTCAGAGTTTCCCAAAATTTGTGGTTCCTTCTTGAGGGTTCCCAATAAGGCGCATAGTGTATTGGGCTAGTGATGAGGTCCCACGACTTATGGAAAAATCCATGTCAAAGTAGGGATATTAAGGACATTTTCCGAATCATGGAGAATCACGTTGAGGAAAAAACATTGAAAATTGCATGGAAAATGGGGAATGGAAAGTGTTTGCAGAGCTCATGCTTTACCCAAATTAGGAGGCAGGGCTCTGCAGCGCGCACTCCTTTTTATCTCCAGCGCGCACTCCAAAAAAGCTCTCCAGCGCGCAGTCCTTTTCTCTCCAGTGCGCACTATGTTTTAGGTGGTTTTTAGGGCTTTAGGTGGTTTTTATGGTTTAAGGTTTTTTGGGTTTAGGGTTTTTAGGGTTTTGGGTTTTTCGGTTTTAGGTGGTTTTTAGGGTTTAGGGCTTTGAGGTTTAGGGTTTTTAGGTTTAAGGTTTTTAGGGTTTAGGTGGTTCTGTGGTTCCAATTTGTTAAGGGGCTTTCAGGGCATTACGGTTTAGGGGTTTTTAGGGTTTAGGGTTTTAGGGCTCAGGTGTTCTTTAGGGTTCGGGGTTTTTAGGGTTTAGGGTTTTCAGTGTTTAGGGTTTTTAGAGTTTAGGGTTTTCAGGGTTTAATGTATTTAGGGTTTAGGTGGTTCTATGGTTTGCATTTTTAAGGGATGTTTTAAGGGTTTTACGGTTTAGGGGTTTTAGTGTTTAGGTGGTTTTTAGGGTTTAGGGTTTTTGGGGTATGGGTTCTTAAGGGTTTAGGGTTTTTAGGGTTTAGAGTTTTTAGGGTTTAGGCTGTTAGGGTTTAGGGTTTTCAGGGTTTAGGTGGGGGCGCAGCGGGGCGCGGGGCGCGGCGGGCGCGGCTGGGGGGGTCGCTTCAAAACACACCGAGGAGTGCACACTCGAGATATTTGGAGCGCACACTCGAGAGGAATAGGAGTGCACGCTCGAGAGCTTCCCCAATTAGGAGTCCCTTTTTGGGAGTTCCCTATGGTGCTTTGTCGTCTATGTTGGGTTCCCCGGGTTTCGGAAACTGCCCTTTAGTTCTTTTGCGTTTTAGATTGCGGCAACATCTTCCGCGCGATGGCGCCAAGCACCTTTTGCATCCACGTATGGGTAGTCGCTTGTTGACAAGATCAACAAGTTGATGCCTTGTACGGCACATCAATTCTTTGAGACAAGTGCTCAAGCAGGGACCTGGATTGTGTTTGCACACCGCATCTAAAAAATGCCAGTTGTTTCCGTGGCAGGGGGATGTGGTAAGCTGTGTGCAGCCTGCACTTTTGATGCTTCGCCTCACCCAGCCCACTGTCCGCATCTCCGTATCTGCATTCCGCCCCTAGCACTAAACAAGCTCTCTATGATGCGAATGAGGTCCGCACCGCATGAGCATCTGAAGAAGCCTGGGGGGGTGATGCAAAGTTGCCAGAGAGCGTTGCTACAACGCCAAGAGCCAAAGCAAACAGCTTGGTCTGCCCACGCTTCTTCTTCGCCGCACAGCCATCGCTCACCTTCCAAGACAATCTGATAGCAACATGCAACTGCAGGCAGGCCGAGAAGTGCCACCCTTGAACTAAAAGTGATTCCTTGTACACTCGCCTTCCCACCGCCAAGGTCACAGCCAAACCGAAGCTTTTCTCGTCAGGGGCCAGCTCTACTGTACAAAGCTGAGGAGCTCTTCACACTGATGGCCACTTCAGTCGTATGGCCTGCCAGGGCCAAATCGCTTGATTTTAATCTCATCGCCAACTTCATCCACCATGGCATACATCCACAAAGGCCTACCATCAGCTTGTGGCAAAGGAACCCCAAGAGATTCTGTGGATCCGATCATCTTTGTATTGCAGTAGAACTCGACTAAGCGAGCCTCAGGATCCGCGTAGACCACGATGATGTCACCCTCTTGCACACCAGGAACGTCCGGAGGATTCAGATGTTGGCCACCAAAGAAAAAGACCGGCATTGCCATCTTTCTGGAGAAGATCCAAGTAGTGTCTACGTCAAGGTTGTCATGGTCTGAAATTTTTTGAACCCGCCTGTCGTAGGTTACACCAAAGGACATCTCGTCTCTGACACGGACCACTTCAAACTCTACGAAGCACGGCTCCTGAATCGCATGGCGCAGGAAGA